ATTCTTGGGAACATAGAGTGTACTTGCGAGAAATAGAGCTAAATGTAACTGCTTACAGCAAAACTAATAATTAAATCTTCTACTAAAAAAAATTCATAATCACCTTCAAGGATAATCATTGATTCCTTAACTCTTTAAGCTCATTTCCACCAATCACACCTTAATTGTTAGAAGTTAGAAAAATAATAAGTTAAATTAAACACCTAAACTTGAGGATCGATATGCCTTTAGATAAAATCATAACTCACTAATTATACTAACTGTTTTTTTAAAAATCTGATTAAGGCACCATCCCGTTTAAACTCGCAAATGAAAATTTGGGGACAAAAACTTCAAGAGGAGGGAAGATTCCGACACGAGAAAAATTTTCCTAAGTGACAGAAATTCCCTAACAAAAGTAGGTGTCTTCCTAGTGAGAGAAAAATCTCTCCTAACAAAAATTTCCAAAATAAAGAGGTGACTAATTTCAATTCCTTAATGTCCAATTTGGTGGACCAAATTGTTTAAGTGAGGGAGATTATAATATCCAAGCAGTGGCAAATATATATATGTAATATCCAAGCGGTAAATATACATATATATGTAATTAAATAAAAAAAAAAAAGAAAAAAAGATATTAGAGATTGAGAAGGGAGAGATGCGACTGTGAGAGGAAATAGATGTTGACAACCGAGAGATAAAGGTCTTGCCACGTTGCACGATGTAGTAGCTAAGAAATAAAGGAAATAAGGCATTGTGACCATGGCGCATGGCGATGGAGAGAGGAAGCAGTCGCGGGGAAGAAGAAGAAAGAAAGAAAAAGGCATAAAAAAGAAGGAGAAGAATGATGTCGGGTAGAGAGAGACAGAGAGAGAGAGAGAGAGAGAAAGAGAAGAAGAAGAAGAATAAGAAGAAGAAAGAAAAAGAATAAATGAAAAAAAAAGACAAAAAATTAGTTAAGGAAGAAAAATGGAGGGATGATGACCAAATATGATGTTAGTGTGCCGCATATGACAATGTACACTGATTCAACCATCAGCGGTTGACATTTTCGATGACACGCGTATGATGACGTATGGTGGCACTAGCAACCTGGACTGCGTGTCCGAAGGTAAAATCCATTTTTAATTTTGCGTAATATAGTTTTTAAAATTATTTATAATTTAATCTAAGCATTTTCTATTATAAAAGAGAAAAACTATTCAAAAGGTATTCGAATTTTCGAGAGAACCGTAGATCAAGATAGAAAGGATTTCTAAAGCTTTCCTGATCACACAGTAGGTAAGAATTATATGTATTCCGTACGAAAATATAAATTATATGTTTATAAAAAAGTATATGTGTATAGTGCATTATGTGTGAATGTCTAAATATATATATAATATGATATAAATATAATTAATATGTTTGATTTGTATTTATGTATGTTTATATAGTGTATATATATCTACGTTGTTACACATGTATGTATATATATATATAAATATACGATAAATATGATATGAATTGATAAGAATATAACTGATAAGAACAAATACGTGAATATATATATATATATATGATATGTTATGTGTGATTGTGTATACGTGTTTAAGTATGAAATATATGTTTATGTTTCAGTAAAGATTGTGTGTGTGTGTGTGTGTGTGAATATAAATATGTATTTTATGTGAGACATGTAGTAACGGTACATGTCTGTATTATAATATGTGTGTACACACGCTATGCGTGTGAAATGTACAACCAGTGAGTGTAAGTGTAGAATTTGGGTACATTGCAATTGCTATGTGATATGATATAGATATATAATACATTGTATTTGTTGTGTGATCTAGTACAGTTGTATGAGAAATATGAGTATTTTGTGCTTGCTGTGTGATCTAGTACATGATGATTCATAAAATAATTTAAAATATATAGTTCTGATGTGCATGATGATATTATGTATTTTGTGTATGTATGTGTGTTTAATTATACATATAAATTAAGATCTCAAGTAGGAAAGAAACGAATTAAAAATGAGAGAGATTTGGAAATAGTATAGAGTGTAAGGACCCTGAGTATCTACTCATTTAGTCTGAATCGAGGAGGGGAAGGTACGTGTGTGGCTGAAGTTCAGTGAGTATGATGAACCTGTACATAGATAGAGTTTGAAACCTAATTCAGACGTTGATACGTATTTGTGAGTATAGGTCACTTAACAAACGTACCTGCTATAGCCATTGTGAAATTTATATGTGTGTGATATTCATGCGATGGGGGGATCCATTTTACCTTTCTTTAATGACGATATAAACAACATCGCTCGATGAAATCTTAGATATGATATTCTTAGTATATTGTGATTGTTCGAGTGTAAGTTTAATCTTAAAAGAGAACAAAAATTAAGTTATAAGAATGAATATTAAAATATGTTTTATATGATGATTCGTTTTATTGTGTATTTTAATTGTGATGCTTATTTAACATTTTCTTTAATGATAAAAATTATTATATTTTATATATTGCATGAATGTATGTACGTAAGTCTCTGTTATCGAATTTTTTTTCTTACTGAACTTGTGAACCTTATCCCAATTCACCCTCATCTAGGTCAGAAGAAGTCAAAGATCAAAGGAAGATAACAAAAAAAAAATATTAGTTTTTTTTAATATTATAAATTAATTTAAATATCTTAATTATTTATTTACAAATAATTATCTAGTCATAAGGGATATGTATTAAAATGTAGTTCTACTGTATATTTAATAATTATTTGTTCTACTAATTGAACATATTGTGCTAACGTCCGTACTCATAGACATTGGAGTTCGGACGGTTACACAATTATCTTATTTAAAAAGATATATAACATAATTTTTATTTTAATAATAGTAAATGTGGTTCTCTTATTTATTAATATAGCTTATCTAAATGTTTTAATTTATTAAAAATATAAATACCTAATAAATTAACAATGAGAATATACGATTTAAATAACATGAACATCATTAATCTAGGTTGACTGTCATAAAACATGCTCTTTTGTTATGAGGTTTTGATCTAAGTGGGTGTTTGTATATAGCATTATAATAATTGTGTATGTCCTTGTTACATAAATGAGTGTATTAAACTAACTCAAGAATTATTCTATAGAGTTCTCATTACTCATCAAATAATTATTTATTCAATAATATATATATATGTTATTAGCATTTAAATATAATTTTATCATAAATAATTGATACAAGAATAATTATTTTCTAATACTAAGAGATTAAATTATTTTTATATACCTTGATTAAACTAGTTATTAGCTAGATTTAACAAATTTTATATTTTTAATAAAAAAGAAACATCATACATAATACATTCAAAGAATTATTGAATTTCATGACTATATCATGCGAATAAAATAATTTTCTAACTAAAAAATTGATCTAAATAATATAATATATATTTATGTATATAATAGATTGGTGGTTATTACAGTTTAATAATATCAATATTCTAAATTATGTTAGAATACAGTAAATAAAAAAAAATATCAATAAGTTAAATTATTACATATAGGTTCAAAATTCACTTCAATAACTTTGAAGAGCTACGAGATATTGCTAAATGTCAATCATAATTTATAAGTAAATTTGATTTGTTTATATAATTAATATAATCATGCAGAGATAAATTAGAATCAAATTAGTATATGTATTATTAATTATATTATTAAACTTAATTGATCAGCATCGTAATTTTTTTAAAAATTTTAAATTATATTTAAATAAAATAAAAAAATTTATAGTAATTAAAATTATCTTTAAATATACATGAAATACAGTGTATACTTTAGGACCCATAAAACACAAAATTTAGAGCATTTTAGGAAGCCATTGTCGGTTATACAAGAGCTGAGAGCTTTGGGTTGCAAGAGTTTTCAAAGATTTTATTCATATAACAAATTTTAATTATAAAATAAGTTAGTAAAGATATTATATATATATATATATATATTTGTATGTTAGGATAAAAGTAAGCCATATTTTAATCATTTGCTCTTTCTTTCTTTGGAACTATTTAAATTTTATATAGGTGGTAATAGAAACTTATATTTTGATGTTCAATTTTTATAATTATTGCTTATATTATGTTAGATTAACTTTTAATGAATTTAAAATATTATAAAAATAAAATATCTAATTTAATTAAATTGTTGGACAATAATTATTTCAAGTAGATTTTATATAAGGAAAAAAGTCTTTTCAGATACGATAATGAAATTTTTTTATTAAATTATATTTTGTCAAATTATTTTATGCAGTTACAATATATTTGTGGACGTACAGGAACAATTAATTTTTATTATTTGATGAATTTTATTCATAGCTTTAATTATTGCAAAAAATAATATCTAAAAATAAATTATAACATAATTAATAATAGAAAACCGTAAATTAATAATCTGCCCATATTTAACAAAACAACTTCCCAAGCTGGGAAATTGGCGAGACCACAAACCAGATCGGGCCCACCAGAAAACAAAGAGCTAACAACCAACTAGATCGTGACAAGTGACAGTCTACTCACAAGATCCAAATCCAACCGTACGATTCAAATAGCAGACAGTAATTCTTTCCATACACTGATCTTGCAGCGCGTGTTTCCCAATTATTCATTTTTTTAATTTTTCTTAATAATATTTATTTATTATTTTAATAAAAATATATATTCCATTAATTAAATACTTAATAACTCTGACTCAGAATGCTGTAATCAGAAAATTTAGATATATCATATTAGATAACAACACCTGAATTCCGGTTGATTAATTATTATTTTTCTCAAGTTTCATTATATACATATATATATATATATAAGCGAACTTTGTAATTTTTGAATTTTTTAACTTTTTCTTACTGTTTTTATATATATATATATATTTAAAATTAAATGTAGAATAAAGAAGGAAAATAAAATTTACAATGTAATTTTATATGATCTGAAAAGAGAGAAAAAATAAGAGTGACTGACACTTTGGTCTCGTTGTCTCTTTCTCTATAAAAACGCAGGCGCAAAGGCAACACTCAGCAACAAGGCTTAGCAGTTTACTTGAGCAGAGCACCGAACTCACTCTCTTGGCTCTTTCTATCTAACATGGACAAACCCGTAATTGACTCCTGGAGACCTGATCCTGTTTTCAGGCCACCGGAGACACCACGGGAGCCAATGGAGTTCTTGTCGCGTTCGTGGAGCGTGTCGGCTCTTGAGGTCTCTAAAGCTCTCGCTCCTCCGCAACCACCTCAAATGCTTCTCTCCAAGACTTTCAGCGGTGGCTGTGTCATACAGGAGGATGTTGCCGGCGAATCGGAGGAAGCTGCAACAGTTTCAGGGAACCCCTTCTCTTTTGCTTCCTCTGAGACCTCTCAGATGGTTATGGAGCGCATCATGTCGCAGTCTGTGAGTACAGAGCATTTGCGGACAAAATTTTCTTTTGGTTTATACTGTTTATGGTCCCTGTTTATTTTTTTATTATGTGTAAATGGGTTCCATGTGCTATTTCAATATCCGGCGTTTTTGTTTTTAGTCCTTGGTTTAATGTTTAAGCATGAAGGGTTTCTTTTTGTTGGTTTCTCTCTTCCTTAAATTGTTTTAGTATTTGTTTTTTTGTTTCCATTTGGGCTGTCGAAGCAAGTAGTCCGATTTCGAAGATTCATATGTAGAGATTTACAAACAAAATTTGCTCTGTCTACCTTTTTCTTAAAATCAATCTTTTGGTTCAAGTTTTCTCTTTTTGGGTCCTGTTATCTCCACACTAATTCCTTGCTCTCTCTGGAAAAGAAGAAACAAACCAAAAGCATCTCACGCCCATCTTCTTTTTTTGGGGTTTTGCAGCAGGAGGTATCTCCACGCACTTCAGGCAGGCTCTCTCACAGCAGTGGCCCTCTTAATGGCACGCAAAGCTGCGGTTCCCTGACTGACAGTCCCCCTGTTTCTCCCTCGGAGATGGACGATGTTAAGGTTGGTTTTCTTTAGTTCTTGTGTTGACCGGCAGATGATTAAGATTTAAGGTTGCCGGAATCCGACATTGTCAATCATACTCTTTACTGCTTGCTACTAAGCGGTTATCTCTTTCTTTTTTTTTTTTTTTCTTTTTGCCAAGGAAGGGCGAATCACTGCGTTACTCAGTGACTGACCACTCAGAAAATTGAAACAATAAAACATTAATAACCCAGGCTTTCTCACAAACCAAAGCCCTTTAATCTTTGCTCATATATCTTCTTTTTTATTTTTCCTGTTTCACTTTTTTCAATGAAAAAGAGTTCCACCCAGTAATTTTTTTTCAAAAAAATAATTAACCGATGGAACCCATTTTCAGTACAATCCTAAAAAGTTTTAGGAGAAAGGAAAGCGAAACTCCACCTGTAGCCTAACCCTAAAATTTCTGCAGCATACAAACCCATATTTAATTGTTAAATGTTTGATGAACACATCCATTGTGCGGTTAATCACGCGGGATCAGTTGGTCCCTGTGTTTGTTAGTTACAATACACACGTACAAAGATAATATTCAACATTTATTGTATATGGACCAGGTGGGGGTGGTGCTATTTTCAGTTCTATCTTCCTAAATAATAGCTTTACTAACTGTTTCAAACTTATATCCTTCCATTTTTTTTACAATAATTTTTGTGGGGCATTTTCTGCCACACAGGAAAAAAAAAAATTACAGTTATATGAACGAATTTAAGCCATCTCCTTCTGGAAAATGACCCATTCCTCTTTACAGAACTATTGTCGGGCCAGCAATTCCATCAATCCCCAGTTTCGTACCACGGCTTCAGCCACCCCTGGTGGCGCAGCCCTGCCCGCCGCCACATCTAAGACCGTCGGCCGTTGGCTCAAGGATAGGAGGGAAAAGAAGAAGGAAGAAGCCCGGGCTCACAATGCGCAGCTCCACGCTGCCGTTTCTGTTGCTGGAGTGGCTGCCGCCGTAGCTGCCATAGCTGCAGCCACCGCTGCTTCGTCTGGGGCCGGCAAGGATGAACAGATGGCCAAGACGGACATGGCCGTGGCATCCGCTGCCACGTTGGTAGCTGCGCAATGTGTGGAGGCGGCGGAGGCCATGGGCGCGGAACGCGAGCACCTCGCTTCTGTCGTCAGCTCGGCGGTTAATGTCCGCTCCGCCGGTGATATCATGACCTTGACGGCAGCAGCGGCAACGGGTAATTTTTTAATGCTTTTAAATGTTTTCTCTCAATCCCGGTTTTTGTTTTATATAGCAATTTGTTGATGGGAATGTTTCATGTTGTGAGAAGCTTTGAGAGGGGCTGCCACGTTAAAGGCCAGGACGTTGAAAGAGGTATGGAATATAGCGGCGGTGATTCCAGTGGAGAAGGGGGTGGGAGGGGGAGGTGGTATCAATGGCGGTGGTAGTAATGGAAGCTCTAATGGTAGTTTTAGTGGTGAGCTTGTCCCTGAAGAGAATTTCTTGGGTATCTGCAGCAGGGAATTGCTTGCAAGAGGTTGCGAGCTCCTCAAGCGCACCCGTAAAGGTAAACAAATTTCCATGATGAAATGGCTGTTGCCATCTTTTGTTTGCCGGTCAATATCAACAGGATTTGTGTTCTACTTTTAATTTATTTGCTTTAGTTGGACTGTTTTTACACTGATTGTGGAACTACTTCTGTGTGCACGTGAGGATTCTCTTGTTGTTGAGGTCTTCCCTTAATTCAATAAGCTTGAAATGCTCAATGTAAAACATTCAATAGACTATGGAGGGGAAGCAAGAGAAAGATTACAATCATAGTTATAATTATAGGTTATTAAGAAATTGAGTGCTTTTATCTGGTTTCCGTGTTTGTAATTATGTAGGAAGATTAATCAGGCTACTTTTCTGATCAATTTCAGGTGATCTTCACTGGAAAATAGTTTCTGTATACATCAACAGAATGAATCAGGTACTGCTTTAACCTTTCTAGTTCTATTTCGTGTTCTTTGATGTTGTCTTGACAGATAGAATGTTGCACAATTATTAGCGCATAATGGAACTTTAATCTATAATCAAGTGTGAACTTGGAGAGGAGGTAGAAAGGAAAAGAGTTCTCCGCATAAAAAGTTAAATCCTAAAGCATGATTCTATTTCTTTAGTTGTTTCTTAACTTTCTTTTCTTGCAGGTAATGTTGAAGATGAAGAGCAGACATGTAGCCGGGACCATTACCAAAAAGAAAAAGAGTGAGCTATGATTATTTACCTTTGTCTTTCTCTACTAATGTGAAATGGGTGTGTGTGGGTCTTGTTGATTTGGGGATTTGAGAAAGCAATTCAGCACTAGTAAAAGTAAAAGAAGGATCAAAAGGGTTTGTCTTTAACCTTTTTCTTTTTTCTTAAATCTTGTTTTGAATTTTCAGACGTGGTGTTGGAGGTGATTAAAGATATGCCAGCATGGGCGGGGCGGCACTTACTTGAAGGCGGAGAGAACCGGAGATATTTTGGGTTGAAGACGGTGAATCGTGGGGTTGTGGAGTTTGAGTGCAGAAACCAGAGGGAATATGATATGTGGACTCAAGGGGTTTCAAGACTACTCACAGTTGCCGCAGAGCGGAGCAGTAGACATAGAATTTGAAATTGAAACTTCGTGTGGCTTAAATTAAATGGGTGGTTCTATTTGTAATGATATTTTGGTATATATATATATATAGAAGGGGGGAGAGAGAGAGAGATGATCCTTTTGAACACACAACAAACAAGATGTCAAGAAAAAATTTGGTGGGGGGCTGTAATTTTTTTTTGGGGTGTTTCTGCTGTAAAAAGGGTTGAAATTAAAGAATTTAAGTTTTTCGATCCAAATGTGGGTGGGGGGGTCGTCCCTGGAATATAAAAATCTTAAAACTCAATGTTCTGAAATTTGAAGTAGAAAACAGTAAAAGGCAAATCAATCCCATGTGATTGTTGTTTAATTTCACTGTTTGGAGAAGAGGGAAAAAGGAGTATCTTGGACTGGGATGGGATGGTCAAAAAGAGGGAGGAAGGAATAAGGTAATAAAATACAAGATGCTGATTCTCGTTTTTTGTTTTCACATGTGGGCTTTTTTTAAGGCTTTAAAATTATTGGCTCTTAGTTTTAGGTTTCCTCTTTGGCCCAACTCATGATTGTCTTCCACTTTATATCAAAAGTTTTTGTTTGCATTAAGTGATTTGTGAAGTAAACAACAAATCATAATATTTAATTATGGTTATATCCATAATTCTCTCTTAAGGACATAATTTAATTATCATGTATTTATTAAATTTAATTAATTCAATGTTATCAAAGGAAGTAGCAAAGTCTGAGGATTTCATGTTTTGACTTGTCTTGGGGGAAGATGAGTGCATAATTTGAAGATAGAAATTTGAAGTCATGCCAAATTGAGAGAAATGATTGGGTTTCTTGTTTGGAAGAAAAAGAAAGGATGTCTCAGTTAAATATTTATGCAAATCTTTCTTTTTAAAGTCTTTTCTCTAATTGATAAATCATTTGCCTTAAAATCTTTCAATTTCAACTTTATTTAGTGAATTAACTTAAAAAGTACATGATAAAAACCCAATGTTTACTACCCAAGTAATTGCTGCTTGCTAATAATAACACAAAGTTTTAATGACTACATAAATCCATAATCCTCCTTATATATATATATATATAAAATATCTAGAATTATTAATTATTATGAGGTGGAGGAAACTCCTAAAAGCAGAACTGAGTCAAAGGAAATTGTTCATGTGGTCCTCAAATGATGGGTACGACTTAAAAAAGTAAAAAAATTGGTCCACCACTAGGGCCTGCAATTACTCTTGCTAACATAAACTGGGCACTTGCAGCCGAATGATCGAAATCATTGATGTCTTGGGTGCACGAATAACGTTTATTTTATGCCTGAGGGAAAAAAAAAAAACAATTTAATTCATGTTTTGGGTGCAAACATATTTTTACAATTCAATTTCTTGTCTTATTTCATTTCAAATATATATATATATATATTTTCTTCAATACAAAATGCTCCTGAATAAATGTAAAAAGAAATCATGATCGTGACTTATTTACACAATTCTTTATAGGAATTTTTTTCTACACATAATCTACTCTATGAACCCAGAATATTTTCTTTAGAAGAAAAATAATTTTATTGGGTCCTCTTTTCCGTAATGTGCACACCATAAGAAACAATCTCATATTGTCCAAAAATATCTCCCTCCCTCCCACTCTCTCTCTCTCTCTCTCTCTCTCTCTCTCTCTCTCTCTATGTATATCTATGTGTTTTGTGATCCAATTCTAGATTCCATATGCATGACTATTAAATTTTATATAAATATCTCCGTCACACACTACTAATAATTTATATTTTTTAAGACCATATGTTTTGAATTTAGGAATTGTTAGAGCAAGATTACTCGAATTTGGGATGTTTACCAAATTTTTTGGTTGAATTTAAATTTTTTCTCCTTATTTATGATGAAAGCAAAAAAAAAAAAAAAAAAACTACATTTTATTTGAATTTGTTAAGACTTAGACAATATAGTTAATGCAATCTATGGAACCTAATCGTGATAGTATGTGTATATGCCTAAATTCTCTCAAGTAGCCACTATAATAACGTAATACAAATTTTCATCATAGGTCATTTTTTTTCCCTATAAAAAGAGACCACCATCTTTGAAACTCTTTTTACAAAATAATAAGTTATAAAAAGATATTCCACTCGTATTTGATAAAATTCGAACTGTGTCATTTTTATTATATCTCTATCAAATTTGAAGTTTGAGATAAAAATACTGAGAAAATAAATATTTAATATGCATACATTCACACAAATTAAAAAATAAAATAAAAAATACACAAAACTTAAACACAGTTTAACAAATATGACTACATTCACAGGCAAAATTGAGAAGAAACTTTCTACTTTGATGAAAATTGAGAGTACATTAATATGGTTATAGACCCATATATAGTTAGAATATTAGGATTTTTTCTCAAGATACTCATCAAGATATACACAGAATATTCCTCAGAATCAAGCTACATCAACAACCTTAATATTGTTTTGGATTCAAATCTACTTTATTATCATTTAGTTATTAGATTTTAATGATTTAATATATAAATTTTATTACTTTTAATTACAAATTCATTCATTCATCAATTAGATGATACATAGATAATAATCATAATTGTAACAGCTCGGAACTTGAAAGAAAATAAATTATAAATTAAATGTGCAAGTGAAACAAATAAAGTTAGAGTTTACATTTCTTACACAATAATTCAAATTGCCCAATAGGGTTACGAGAATGACAATTTTAAAAGAAATAACGAAAAATCAAAGAAAGAAATAAAAAATAAACAATTGGGCATCCTATTCGCAACCCTCTACTATCCCAGTAAGAATATCACACTATTCACCGATACAGAAATGACGTTAGTAAAAATTATAAAAATAATTAATGAAGCTCTTAATTTAAGTAAATTTATTTATCATAAGTAAAATCATTTACTCATACTTATCATGTCGAGATTTCCAAAACCGAATTATAGAGGCAATAATATAAATGATATCA